AAAAATTTTAAAAATAAAATTACTCTGACCAGACACAAATAAGAATCAAAATCTGATGTATTGAAATTTCCATTGCACTAATTAACAGCTTAAGGCAATAATTTCTAGTTTAACCACTTACTACCGAATCCTGCAACAACTACAACTTAAATTAAATAATGATAATAATAATCCTTTGAGACAAGTTCACTTTAGCTGTTCCATGAAACTGAAGTTAAAATTTGTACATGATAATCCTCTCAAGTGAAAATTTAGTCAGACAAATGCTTGAAATAATTTTCAGACATACACATATTCATTATTTATTGATTTAAAACACATTTGCAACAAAATCTCGTTTTTCCTTCAGATAAAAAAACTATGAAAATATGTTGACTTCTTAGCTAATTCGACGTATTTGATTAGGAATAAGACATATGACAAATTATGTTATCATAGGGCTAAACTATGATTATAAACTTAATGAAGTGCATTAGAACCGAAATCTCAGTTTTTCATAATAATCTTTTCCAGTCTTCATCTGCTGGTATATATGTGTCTACTAAAATACTATATGAATAAATCATGAGAATTATTGATTGAGTAGTTCCTAAGAGTGTACCCAACATCCCTTTTTCATGATTTGCTTTAACTGATTATTTAATGGAAATAATATCCTTCATTTAACATATTGTAATTTAAATTTTTATAGATTCTTAAAGTGACGTTAAGATTCATGTGCAGATAAACGGATAAAAGAAACCGGTAGAAAAATACATGAATATTAAATGGTCATGTCAAGTATATTAAATGTGTATTGTTATTAAATTAATTTTATAAATATTTTAGTTCATTATTCATAAATTAATTGACGTTGAAACATATACAATAGCCTATTCTTATAAATGTCACTTAGGTCAAAGCTAATATTGATTGAATAATGAATTTTCTTTGTAATACATTCACTAATCATAATAAGTTTAACGATAACGTAAATTTCTTCATACCTTAATGGACTATGACTTACAACTGTGCAAGTAGATACCAATATGATTGTCGAATCATCACTTTATTAACGATGAGTATGTAAAGTAAACTGATTTTTATTTAAAGATATAGAAGTCAGAAGATTATTATGATAGTCCTTCAGATCTATCATTAACTGAAAGAAACGGATTAGGATAAAGTAAAATTTGACAATATTGGTGTTCGAGTCTTTTACATTTCAGTGTTCCCAGGTTTATCAAAGAAAGTAACGATGACTGAGTGGAAAGATTTAATTATATGGCAGACAAAGTTTTCATGGTGTATTAGTCCTGTCTCTTGAGTTATCGCTGGAGATAGATTCCATGGAGTGTTGAAATATGTATTTGTTTATATGTGTGCAAAACATTTCTCTATACAAACACTGTGTGGCAGCATTTCATTGCTTCCTTGACATATAATGCATCTATTACTCATTGTATTCACACACATGATATCCATCTCTTTAGTTTGAATGGATTTATTGAGCTTCTTGTTTATTCGCGTTTCTCTACGCGCACTTTCCGTTTAGCTTTGCCACCACCCTACAATTGGCTCTCTATAACTTCGCCAATTTTCTCTGGCACAATTTTGGTATTCTTTCAATGCAACGAAGTTGCAAGCAAATATATTTCTTCATCTGCATTATCTCTTCTTCCCTGTTTTCGGTTTACGACAGCAGAACACGTTAAGGTGAGAACGTAATTAGTTTGCAGTGGAGTTCATTGTCAACCTCGACTCGAGTAACTACAATTAGTGATCTCGACCCCGAAAAACTACCATATTTCATGAGCTGACGTTTTATCACGATGAAAGCCAATTACGATGAAATTATTATTTATTTATTTATTTATTTATCACCATTTTTGTCTCGTTACCTTAACGATAACCTTAAGTACATATCATACTCGCGACAACGTCTCGGAATGGTGGATAGTCATAAGATTACGATAACGTGATCGACTCCGATAGGCGCGTCATTGCGCTTCGACCTGTCTCCTTCCTCTCAACCCAGGTTGGTCGTTTATTTTACCTGCTCGATTATCTCAATAACGCTAGGTACCTAGAGGCGACATGTGCCTAAGTTTCTATCGTATCGTCTACTAGCAGTAAGTTTCAAACTAAAATGCTTCGGCTACGTGCTGCGAGTGGCTCTGTCATTCCTACCTATGGTACACGACAGATAGCGACAAACCTGATTAACTGATAACAATATCTGTGGACGTTCATCCATGCTGATGTTCCCATTGTCATACTCGATATCGATCTTCCACAGCACTACGAATTGTTAGTCGATTCAGGTATGCTGCGGTTAATCAATACTTCATCGAATATTTAATTCAAGGGTACCAAAGATCATACAAATGTGTGCTGAATCACTAGTGTATTTTTACGTTTGCTTGATTATTTATTTCATGTTGTACTTAATAAATTCCCTCGATTAAATAAACCGAGGAGATTATATGTGGTAAGCCATATCATCACCCGCGAACCCCCAATCAGGGCAAAACCTCGAGTACTGGTACTGGACAGATTAGTTTGCTCTAAGGATGAGTTTGGCGATTCACTTGCTGTAGGTATTATCTCGTCCTTCACTTAGTCCTCAGGCCTTCTCTCTCCATTTGGTTTACAAAAAATGATGTCAATTGGATACCATGCAGCGATTACAGAGCACCGAAAGCAGATATTTAATGTTCTGCCTCTGAACTTGTACACGACCGGATATTGCATCTGCACCACGGAGCAGTAATAACTTTGGTAAATCAGACTACGTCTAACGATCGTCTAAGTCCATGCGAACACTGCCTCCGGTGTAAACTCGGATATAACATCAACAGGTTGCTCTCCCTCGAGAGTTATATACCATTTCAAATGTTTTCTTACGAGTAGATTCGGTACGCAAACTTTTGCAACAGCCTTAAGAAGGATCTTTTCACGTGATCTCTTGCCACAAGATGATCTTCAAGGTCGATGGATACAGTTAGCATTGATTGTCTGAATTCAGCTAGACTCGTCCAGCTCACTAGTAGGATCCCATATCCCTTTCGGACCCAACTCTAGAAATGTCAGGGACCTCCTTCCCACGTCTCGGTCAGCAACACGCGTCATCTGCACTATCTACGGACGAAACTTCGTTCTCAAGTCTATGTCAGGAGACCACGCCACCCTTGACTCCGGATGAGTTGGCAACCCGAAGCTCTCAACCACAAGGTATGGACGAGACTTCCGTCTCACGTTCCGGGCTCCGGGTACATTTGCCGGCAAGCTTTCATGACTAACCTCTTAATAAGCAACGTATGGTGTATAGGATTCTGACCCTGCTACACCTTTCCTTTTTCGTTGAATATTTTATCCTGAGCTTAGTTCTCCGACCATCGCCCTTCTGATACCGTCGATTTCAGTCAGTCTCCTCTACAGCTGGTCTGACCACCCAAGCTCTTGTCAAAGTACTCAGACGATTTTCTGGTTCCAACTACGTCTGACTTACGTATGATCCCGAACCTGGTTATTATGGTCGCTTCTAGTTTTTCGGATCAACATGGTTTCGTCCTACGTCTGCAGCATTTTGTAGTCCGAGCCCCTGAGCACTCTATCTTCATAATTTCGATACAAACTGCTTTTGCGTAGGACGCCAACTCGAAAAGATCTACTTAAAAGACCTTCGAAGACATCCGGAGAATCATGGATCGGTTCCTGTTAGTCAATCCTTTTGTCCTACAATCGCATGTTTTGCCGATGAGTCCCACGAAAGTGTGAACCCTTTCTAACAGGGAGCTACTATAATGACTCCACTTTTATGAAGAAAACGCGATTGTTTTACAAGAAACATTCACGACCATAATCGATGGTACTAGCGAACATTTTGATGAACATTTTATTCATTTGTACTTTTTTGTACCAAATTTTCATTCTGTGCGGTCGTCAACTTGCCTCAGCTGTTCTGTACCTTTAGCTCAGTTTCTCTGCCATGATTTCGGTACTTTCTCGACAGCAGATATAATTATTTCATTTGGACTATCCTCTCTTTATTTTTAAAATCACAAGGTCCAGGATTACGCTTGAGACGTGTTCATGGTCCTCGATCCGAACATCGAAGAACTATTGCTTTGATTCGTGACAATAATAGAATTATTTTTTTGTAGTGATAAAATAAAGTATCAAAACTACCCGCCTTTTATATTAACGGTTGTCAGTACGACAATGTATTAGTGACGATTCATTGCTTTGTCATTCTACTGTTAGTGAACTCCTCAACGTACACTCTTTATGGGGAAGTACTTCAACGTACGTTCGGAGAGCATTTATGTTTGGTAACTTACTTCGAGCACTATTTTCGGGTTCGAAATATAAATTCCTATTAATTTCAAGCAATTTTAAGGACCATATGTGATCAGTTTTGAATTTACCAAAGATAACTTATCTCTTCCCTTCGAATTCACAAGGTGCTATTCTGACTGATTGACTACTGTATATTTAAACCAAATTCATGGTCTACTGTCATTGACTCATGTTCTGAGTACGCGTATCGGTTTTAAAGTGTATTATACAAGTTAAATCTGAATTACAGTTAACCTAGGATGCTGTAAAATTTCCAACATGAAATATGAAGTTCTAGCTACCCGATATATGGTTCATAGAAATCTTCGACGATGGGATAACTGTCAAATGTTTTCCACAGGTCGATCCGACGTAGAATAAACTTGATTACCTTATCTTTCTTGAGTACTCGTTTGTTCGTGTAGAAGGTTGTTCATTTATATGTTTGCCTCACATTTGCTACTATCGTCTGTTTAAGACGTCCCGGATTGTTAACAAAATTTACTTTTAAGATATGATTTGATCATTTGATGAGTTTTTCTGTAATGCTGTGTGATGAAATTTCCTTAGAATCCATCCCCTTTCATGTATATTTAAAGATATATGAAATACATGACAATTAAAAACATTCCTTTAACGTTATTGAAGAAAAAATGTAGATTGTACAATACTCTAACCTTGTAAACGTAGGCGCTTTTTTCGAGTTTCCGCGCGTGGTTTGCCAATGCTAAAATTTAGCATCGCTAATCCTACAGATGATTTCGAAATAGTAACGAAGGTCTCGAAATCCTCAGTAAGTACACTCATGTTCCGTATGTCTGTAGCGTAAAAGACCTAAACCTGTAGACGGAATTTCGAAGGTCAAGGAGAAAAAATGCCCTAAAAAGACTGGCGATAATGATCAAATTTTGATTCCTGCATGGAATGATGACGATGACATTTCTTTACAAACAAATCCTCGGTTGGTTCAGTAGCTTTTCATTTATATTCAGGCCCCCACGTGCTTTGGATGTGCTTGCAAAAGTGGAGACAGTTGATGACTTGAAAATAGTTGACTCAGATGATGAAGGAACCTATGTTTTCGCCAGAAAATCTGCTGCATTCGATAAAAGGAGCTTGAAAACACTTCCTCAAGGAAATGAAATAGGCGTTAGGAGACTTGGTGATGTCAATCGCGAGAGGAGGTCGATGGCTCCACTTGTAGCAACTGAGTTTAATACTCACTACCGTATGCTATTAACTGCAAGCGTGGATAGTACTATGGCTTTTTTCAAGGTAAAATAATAGTTATGAAAAATTTACAATCTACGAAATCTTATCCAACTTTTTAATGCCAAATGTTCGAATATTTGTCAGCTAGTGCGTCTTTCATGCCTATGCAGATTAGTAATTTATCACCAGATATATAACAGGGACTTTGACATCATTTACGACAGGACTAACTCTTGCTTTTTGTTTGACAAGTGTTATTCTAATCCTCATAGTTATCGCATTATCATCAATATACCGGTAAAATGTGTAACTTGGGCAGCTTTATCGCAATTTGACTGGATTTAATAAGAAAATTAATGTATAGCTCGATCATTCACGTAGCGCTTTGACAACTTTACCCTTTGAAGGTGTAAAATGTCAGTGGCGAAACAGCGATGATTGAGTCCTTATTTAAGAATCTATACCATCTACTTCAGTTTCAACTACTGGGTTATATATTTAACCCTCACTAAATTAGGTGGTTTCTAAGTTGCATTAGATGATGAACTTCGCTTTTTATGTTCCGGTTAGTTGAATATTACTAAATCTACGGTTTTCATGCTCAGTTCTGTTACTTATATTTTAAAGCTAGGTCTTTTTTTTAACTAGATGCCTCACTACTTCCTCTTTATGATCTAATTGATCAAGCCGTGGTTGTGTTACAAGAGCCAAACCCAAAATTTTAGTCACAGTATTTCTGAAAATAAATTTTCGATTTCGCTGAGATTCTGCATTATTATTCTTTTGGTTTCACAACGTACCGATGTGAATGGATAAGTCACACTTCTTACGGTTGACCTGAGTTGGCGTTTTCTATTAGGTATAAGCTTCTTCTTGCTCAATTCAATGATTGAGTCCCAGTTTCAAGTACTGTAAGGTAAATCGACCTAAGTCCTCCGAATCTTTATTAAGTTGGGGAAGCGACAGGAAATCTGAAACGAGGCAGAGCAGCGGGTCCTGATAGGCTTACCCCTGAGATTTTTAAGGATAGTGGTCCAGTTTTAACAGTCAGATTGACTGAGATCTTAGGTAGAATCTGCGAACTACGTGTAATCCCATCTGAATGGTCTCAGTTGCTGATTGTCACCACTTATAAGAAAGGACAAAAGTCCACTTGTGACAATCACATGGGAATAAGTCCAACTAATTTAGTATCTAAAATATTGTCCTCCTAATACTTGGACGCCTAACTGAAGCTCGTGAAGAGTAGACTCGAGAAAACCAGGCTGGTTTCAGACCTGGACGTAGCTGTATAGCCCATATTTTCACACTGCAACAGGTCGTGAAACAGACACACATTTAGGCGTCCGACAATAGTTACCTCCCATGACCTTGAAGCGCACCCGACTCTTAATCGTGAGGTTCTGTGGCAATTTATGTCATTAAAGTGTACCAGAGAAGTACACCAATATTATACAAGCCCTCTACTCGAACACCACTGGTCGAGTAAGAGCTTATGGCGAACTGTCATCGGAATTAGTTACTTCAAGTGGTGTCCATCAGGGCTGTCCGCTCTCCCCATTCTTGTTTAACTTTGTCGTAGATATGCTTCTATAGTTAACATTATCATCGTCTGACTTTACAGGGGTGGACGTTGTACCAGGAGACATGCATGTTGACTTAGAATATGCCGATGACAGAGTTCTACTTGTTGAAGACGACTAAGCAAGTATATTCGGGATGCGATTCTCCCCTCGAAATGCAAAATGTTGTTTCAAGATTGGCTTACATCGGCACCTGAACTAGTGATAGGGAGTGAAGCAGTTGAGCGTGTAGACCGCTTCACTTATCTCGAGAGTCTCATCAGTGCTGATAGCGCGCTGTCTGACAAAATCTCAGTACGGATACAGAAGGCTCGAATGGCTTTTACCAACTTGCGTCACCTATGGTGTAGGCGAGATATCTGTCTTCTAACCGAAGATGAGTATACTGCGCAGAAGTTTGTTCCGTGCTACTCTATGGCTGCGAAACATGACCAGTGAGAGTAGAAGATATTTGTAAGTTACTGGTTTTTGATCATAGGTTTTTCGGGAGCATTGCTCGTGTTTCGTGGGACAGCCGAGTAAGCTAAGGATGGCAGATCGATAGATGATGCATTGAAACTTCATCAGTTCAGGTGGTTGAGACATGAGTTACGAATGTCCAACCACCGACTGCCTCATCAAGCTATGTGGTGTAGGAATAGGTTGAAAGAAAGCTAAGGGCGGCCAATGCAAAACATGGCACATTCTTTGTGTTCTCTCAAATCCTTCTGATTTCCTCATCACCTTTATCTTTTTCTTTGTAATTTTATTTCACTACATTCTTCTTGAATAATATCCTCGAACCCTAATCTCCCCGATTACTGATAATACTTCTACTACTTTTACTAATATGGGATATGAAGTGACAGTTGCGTCTTTGTGCTGTGGTATGGCAACATGAACTTGTGTATGTACTTATGAAGTCCTACGTTTTAACTGACTGACTTTAAATACTATAAAAATACTTATTTTTGGTTGATATGCCACTTACATTATCAATGTTGTTATATCTTTTGGCAATTTCCTATCAAATTATAATTAATTGATTCCTCCTTAATATAATCAATAAAATCCCACTATCACACCAATTTTAATAATCATTTATATTGTCCTACTGTAATATAGGTTGATGGCTCGGAAAATGCGCTACTGCGTGATCGTGTATATGAAAACTTTTCTCTTTCCTCAGCTAAGTTCACAGCTCATGGCGACAAGGTTGTTTTTACTGGAAATGTTGGCTCTTTTCGTGTAAGTGGGCTCTAATCTCTATTGTTTTGATTTTTTACACATGATAAATATCAGTTCTGTCAATTTGTAGATAAAAACGGTCGATAGTTGGATAATGGTCCTGATTTTTATTTCATCATAAATATTTACATTAGTATGATAAATGCGTTCTAGCTTGTATTCACTAAGCTACTTATACTCCAGTAAGTAGCACATTGATTTCGTTACCAGCTGTATAAATGGGTCCTAACCTTAGCTATACATAGATTGATATCATCAACCTCGTCATCAGCACATGCACTTACTGGAATGTATGTACTTTTCGGCTACATCTAATGACTTTCCGTCAAGAGTAAGTGTAGTCAGAGGCTCCTACCAGTGTTGGGAAAGTATTTGATTCGGAAGGTAAAAAGTTCATACAGATGTTAATTACCAAGTGAATAAATGCGGATCAAATGGCTTGAATCATGATTGTATCATGATATAATTCGAATATTGAAATATCTTTCTCTTTTCAGCAGATCCACACCACCACTACTTATTTCTATTAAATCCGTTTCCAGAACGTTCTCTATGTCAAATTTGAAGCGGAATGGTGAAGTTGAGTAACATTTAGTAAAACTGCTTCTGTTATAGAACAATGAAGAGTATTGGCTGTGTGCCCTCGCTTTGCCTAGGTTACTTATATACAAAGTCCTCAAGATTTTAATATATGTCTCAAAGATCCTTCCTAAACACACCGTCTCGGAGTACAGTCCTGCCTAACAAGTCTAAATGGGTTGTGTTATAGAAAATCCGATTGTTGAGATGCAGTAAGTGTGACTATTTTGATATTTTTCAGAGTGTGGAGACATAACCAATGAATCTACAACCGAAGCGTAAAGCAACCTGCTCTTAACGAGTTAGCTTTTAACAACATGCAAGTGATGTCGAAAGCAGATAATTTGGACACAATTGAAAGTAGACTTGTCCCTCAACATTCGTTGCATTAATGGTATTCGGCCTTTTTGGGACGAAGGTTGCTCGAAACCCTTATTTACAAACCTATCCAAACACCCAAAAGTTTTCTACCTTTCTTAAAAACAGCTGGAGCAATTCATTTGGGCTTAGTGATTGATGGTACCTTTGAATTGGAGGCTCTTTTCAGACTTCTGTCTCGTTAGGTGGATCTGTTGTCACCTGCCATGGAGGGAAGGAAAATTTGAACAATGTCTTCGCGGCAGTAAACAAACTAAGTCGTCCTTCAAAAAACTCTGCCCACCGTCCAAGACGTCTGTAGGTATTTTTGGTTTGAGTTCTGTCAACTCCACGAATTGCTTCACGCACACCGAATTTCTTACGGCCAGTGAATCAAATGATTTGAACCAGCCTCTAGCAGCTGCCGCCTCCGACTCACTAGCATACTCCAACCACTAGCTTTCTCGATTCTTTCGCAAAGTTCGCACAATTTCCTTACTTAGAAGTTCACGTTTATCGTCAAATTCGCGGTGATATGAAATAGACCAACGTGTATCAGTATGTGAGAAACCAGTAAAATCTAGTTTTTACGAGTGGCGGGATGTTTCTCGAAGCTGCAGTAGATCTGGTTTCCGTTTTCTTGAGATCATACATTTGCAGTCAGCACTCATAACATTTTTCTGGATCAGTTGCTAGCCTTAAATCTAGCTCGGTCTAATACTTGGTTACGACAAAAGTTGCAGTCAGTTTGGTTGCATCGGTCCGTTATCAACCAGTTGAAAGAGAGAGGAGTTAGCAACCTTGTGTGGCACTAATCTCCAATTGGAATACAATACATGCGTGGGTTGACGTTATTTAACGAATTCGCAATTTAATCCCTCATGGAAGTTACGCACAATGGAGGCAGTTATTCATTCTGTTGAAAAAGATTCCACAAAGTTCTCCTATGCGCTCTGTCAAGAGCTTTCTCCATCCGTAAAACTAATGCTTAGCGATTAGTTGCACTCTATTGAATTCTCAACAATGATCGACAGTGTCGTGATTTGCTCGGCGCATGATATATTCTTAGAAAATCCAACTTGTTAATCTGGAAGTTGAGTGTCTATTGAATCCTTCAGTTGGTTCGGTAACACCTAGTCGACAACTCTGTCTGTCGCCAATAGTGGTATGATGTCTCTATAGTTTTCGCACTTACCAAGTTCCCCTTTATTTGGTATTTCGACGAGCTATCCGTCTTTTTTGTAGTCTGATGGAACTCGTTCTCCCCCCTAGTCTTCTCAAAGAAAACGTGTTGTCTTAGCAGTTACTTCTATACCGGACTTCAGTACTTCGTTTTTTATACTATCTGAGCCTTCTGTTCTATCATTATTGATATATCTCATGGTCTTGACAATTTTTTCTAGTGTTGGTTGGGTGTAATCTGTGTAGGAGTTTATGTATGCTGCTCCGACGCCTGGCGGGTTCATCTGTGCTGGTCTGTGCAGGAGCTCTTCAAAGTATTTTACCCACTTGTTTTGCTACTCTTGGGATTCAGTGGCTGGATTTATTCTTCTGCTTCTGATCGATTTCTCCGGTCTACTGTGTTTTCTTGTAGTTTTCATGGTTGTATTATATACTCATACCATGTGTCCTTTTCAAAAAATTTTCTTCTATAGGATTTCTCATTTCCAATGCTCTTCCTTGCTCATTTGTTCGTCTTTGTATATTCAGCTTTTGCGTTCACCTTCGTCCTTTTTTTTAAGCTGTTGTTGAGCACCATCTTTTTATTTGCCTTCACATTAATTCTGTTTGAGTTGTTCACAACGATATAATCTATTCACTGGTGCTTCCTGGATACAAGCACCTTTTAACGTGTTAGATTTTTTTTTCCTTTCGTTCCTTCTCAGTTGTTTTTCATAGTGGATTCCTCATCTTCTATTAGATCTTGTAAAGCTTGGAACTTGTTGTTAAAACTATCTTGAACTCTCTTAATTGACGAGCATATCAGAAGACTGTATTGGATTGTTGTAGTATCGCTTGTTCAATTGTCCAATGCTTCTTTAGCTTCACTGATGGTTTGGCTACCACTTGGTGGTGATCTAAATCTGTACCAGTTCCTCTCCTTCTGAGTGGTTGATTTAGACATTGCTAGTGTACATGTTTTGCTGTTAGCATGATAAACTATCCTTTTTGATGCATTTTTACAATGTTTTACAGCTTTATGTAATATATTAAATGCATATTTGTCATATGCCACCGGTGACACGCCATGGATTGTTTTTACCTATTTGTGTGATAACTAATATCTTATCATACACACCTGAATCTCATAGTACCAGTGTTATACTCAAAATACTACAGAGATTCTTTTTACGAAGCTGTTACTCTTAGTTAAAAATTTCTACTTTCTGACTTTCTATCAGAATAGATTATAAAAAATCTATTTGCTGTATTTATTTATTTATTTATTTATTTCTTGTTTAGTTGAAATCGTTTTTTTTTTGGTTTATGACTTATTTCTTTGATAGATCTACAATTTAGAAACTGGAAGTGAAAGCCGTGCAAGACGATTTATTGGTTCACCGATAGATGAAACAATTACTAAATGTTTTGTTTCACCAGCTGATCCAAATTTAGTAGCTCTTGGAACAAATGGAAGTGCTGTGTATCTGGCCGACTTACGAGTTAGTTCATAACTAGTTTAAACTACTTACTTCAAAATGATAACTTTATTTCTAAAGAAAGTGAATCATTTCCTGTGTTAAGTGAATATGGCGTTATTACGCTGCCAATCCAGTAATACTATCAAGTTTTCCTAGGATCGAAAATAATATATCTTTCTGTAACAAAAATCAAGTTGATACCGGTCAAAGCATTCAAATCTTAGCCATAGTCTCAAGCCCTGCTTTACTTAATTGAATTTAGGTGGCCGGTTCATGTCACTGGCCATCACAGAAACACTGAGTCTCTTAGTCGACTACATAATATCTGTACTTGGTAAATGAGTTTGATTCTGTTTATATTCACATATGTAAACTACTAATATATGAATTAAATAAATCATCATTATTTTCTTGTCTTTTGTCAAATGTTAGTTTGATCGACATGCAGCACAACTAAATATTTCATTACTGATCGCTGTAAATACTTTGTTGATTCACAATAAATATTACTGACAGTATAGGTTGTGTGTGAGTCAATCAGTTAGTACGTATATACATCAGTTCATGTCACTATAGCTTAGTGAGATGAAATTGTCAGACCGAATCCCAGAGTTTTAGAAGTAGTAACAGTACTAGTTTTAACAGAAACTAATAGAGTTCGAAGATAAGATTCGATAAAACATGGGTCAGTGAAATTTAAATATTATGATGTATTCAAAAACTTTTGATTTGTTGGAGGACAAAGAATGCCTACACTTAGGCCATTGCAAACGATATTGAGCTCTGTCATTCAAAGTTGCTAACAACTAGTTACGAATATCACACGATCCCCGACTAGATAATCTATATCAGTTCAACTGTCAATGACTTCACGCACTAGTGCCATATTTTCCTTTGTCTCCCGCTTATTTTCTTCCAACCAAACAACATCGCTCGTCGAGATAGACAGTACTTTGGCATATGTAACGCTTGTCAACTAAATAATTTCACATTTTATTGATCAGCATAGTCTGGCAAATTCTTGTTAGGATGTGCATTTGTGAGTTTACAACGATGTTGAAAATCTAAATAAACGTTATTATACAGTAAATTATAATTTGTTCAGTGGTCAAAAATCGTACATCATCTTACATTAAATGGGCTTGTCTTATTTCTTATCGTTATGTTTGCAGAGCTTAGAAAAAATTTCAGTTATGCGAGCAAGCGGTTTAACCAATTCCGTTTGTTTTACTCAAGAAGGAACAGTTTTAAATACTTACGGAGGTAAGTTTCAAAAGTTTTACACTGAATAGTTTACTTATATTTATTTGCTGATTCCTTTGATTAACAAATGGAGAAAAAATAATTGATAATTTTAAAGTTATATTATACCTCGTATGTTGGTCATTTACCACTTAACATAATTTGTAATGTAAGTAGTGTAGTTGTAGGTGTGACACTAGGATGCGAATTGCCGGATGTATATATATATACCCCCTGATATTACGATCTCATCCTTTTGACCTGCATATCTCATCTTTAGATTCTTCTTGTTTTAGACGTTATTTCCTGTTTTATTCTTTCCATCTAATTTATTTCTTCTGTGTCCTGATACGAAGTATGTTCGGCCTGACTGCCTGGCCAGGATATATATAAAACAAATATCGGTAAAATCCAGTTGATCAGAGAAGGTTGACTGAGTTTAAGTCAGCAGAAAAGTTGAACTCAAAAATCTTTGGGCCAGCGTTTCTACAAATTTTTATGCATACTTGTAACAGCATTTACGTGGCACTCTTCAATCGTCACTATCCTCAAAACATAGCAAAGTTACCGAACAGACAGACAGAACTAATCAGCGTTGAACCTGATGCAAATATACATCAGTCCATTAGCAATAAGAGAAGAAATTAGCAGGGAATAAAATAAACTAACAGTGGTGGTCAGCTAAACAAATGCAATCCTTATTAAAACGCATGAAATCAGAAAATGCAAAGCATAAAGTATTATTATGTTCATTACTTAGAAGAAGCCAATAAGTTACTGGATATTTATTGATAGGAATGATTTCAGACTGTATCACCGAAGGTCTTCGACCATAAATTACAGTTATTTTACGAATCCTAACCAGCAAGTCTAAACCTCAACTAATTACAAGATTGATTATCTAAATATACGTTCTCTTTAATCGACACCTTGGTAAGCTTAAAATAGTTCAAATTCCTTTTTCATAATTCTACGCTTTAAAATACCACAACTTCAGTGTATTACTAATAATAATAATATTTTATGGCCTATTTTCCTTTCATAAGTCATACAATCAATGATATAAACTGTTTATTTTGCATTAAATTTACGATTTACTCTTGTCAGTTTTAATAGTTTTCTCATCTGGTAAATTTCAGCTGAAGGTTCTGTGTATGTATTTGATCTACGAGTTAATAAAGCTAGAATTATTCATCGTTGGTTTGATCAAGCCAGTACAAATGGTTTATCTATCGCTTCGTCAGCTAATTCACAATGGATTGCTTGTGGGTAAGATAATAACTAAGATATAACTAAATGTCTACAAATGATTGAAGTTATTTGAGATTTCGAAAAATCACTGTAAATGTTATAATAATTGTAGAGTTCCATTTTTACTTTTGTCGTGTTTAATTGATTTATCCAGTAGTATAGATTTTTGTATCGATGTCGAAACCAAGTTTAGGTTCAATTGTCTGAAACTAAAACTAGATTATTGAGTAATAAAAACACATGGTATACAGTTAAGGGTTTGGATTTTAAATCAGAAACAGCAAACCCACTTATTTCCGAAGGCCTTGGTATCGTTTTCACTTCAGTCAAATGGAACATCATTCTATCAAAAAGGTGTATATTGGACACCAGGTAATCAAGGTCTTAACATTCTGCTCTGAAACAACTGTACAATCCAAAGCAGATTATTATCGAAAAAATCGATGGGGTTACCTGCATTACCTGTAGTTACAAATCTGTTTACGAATTAATTTGGAGAAAATATATTCTTAAATATAATTAAACCAAAGATATGGCCAAAACACATTGATAATACTTTCACAGTGTTAAAACACGTTATACACCACTAATTTTTGGAAAAACTAAGCTTTGTCTTCGACCCTTTAAGAAAAGAATACATTTTGATAATAAACATGAAGTAGAAAATTCAGTGACTTACGAACTACAAAAAATTGTCCACAAAGTTCAAAAGTAGTACGTTCTATAATATCATACCATAAAAATTGACATTAAAGTCGTTCAAAAAATTATCAATAACCATGTGGGACATTTCACAGAAGGAACACTTCACGTAAAATTAAATCCGAATTGTCTGGATAGTAATGAGGAGATAAAGTGAAATTTAACCTGACTTTAGCATCATTCTACTGCAAACGAAGATATGTTGAGAATTTTTCATCTCATTAACGCATTTTCTCATAATTAATACACTTTATCAAATATAAGAATACAGGTTTGTCTGTTATTCTCATTAATTCAGTCACTGCTAATACTTCTACTACATCTACCATTATGGTATTTGCATTGAAATGGTGTCTCTGTGCTGTTGAACTGATGTACATACGTACGAAGTTCTACGTTGTTGCTAACTGATACACAGATTTACTTCATATAGAAGGACTTAGACTTCGGTTATTGTAAATTCTTGTCTACTATAAATCTGTTAGCTTTTAACAAAAAAACATCAGTAAAAACAATTCACCTATCTGTAGTAGTCATGTTTAATGTAAATTTTAACAAATCTGAAGTTTTAAAGGCGTTCCAGTTTACTTATTTCTCGTATCTTATTCTCCTTCATTGTTCACTGTTTGTTTATGTAATAAGTGATTATTAAAACTGGTGTGAGGTATTATTATCTCTTGCACAGTTTCTGTCATTTCGTTTTACGCTTTTTTCTTTCAACACCTTTTTCTTGTGTTTGTTATAGCATTTAATCTAATCTGTAGAGTTTAATCATTTCTCTGTGTTTATTTTAAGAAATATCGTTTTCAGGGCAAAATAAACTTACTTTTAGATCATATCTTGATAATTTCGAAGCATTAAATAGAAAACTTGTCCTTATTGTTATTCATTCATCTGTTCTTTGTTTACATTGAATTTAAAATTAAAAGAGGCATTGCGTGTATGGCGTTTTTGTCTTTGAAACTCTTATTTCCATGTGATTTCTCTACTCGGTGTTAATTGTGTGCGTTGTTGCGCGTTTACTTGTGTGTGTGTGTGTCTGATTTTGTAAAACTGGTCAATTAAATTAAATCTTCATAGTTTACTAAAGAGATTATCGAACATTAGACTATCGATGTACATTTTTGTGACTTCGAAGAAAGTCGTTTGTCTTGTTTGGTTTTACAATTTCATGTCCTATTAATTCAACTGTAATGGTTTATTTTCAGCCAGATTTTATTTAGGCAGTGTCTTGATTTATATTGAGCATTATTGTTCAGGATAGACTGTTTGATTGTGAAAAGCCATCGACCGAATTGATTGATGTGAACTCACTATTTGATTCTATGTATGGTGTGGTTAATGCAAAATGAAGTAAGAAGATAGAAAAGAGATACGAAACCGTAGGATGGGGTCAGTACATGACGTCACTGACTGTTTGTCCGGGTTCCTGTAGGGAGGTGTATACTCTATGAATAAGGTTATTGATATAATACCACTTAGCAGTTAGAAAGACCCTAAGTAACATTGTTCAGAATGGATTGATATGGCGAAAAAATACCCACGTCTTGTTGGTCTAAATTCAGGACAACCTATCATTCTTCATAGTCTTTTTGGTTGTTGATTGATTATCTCAAGTGTACTTTTTTTGAAATTATGACTCTTTGAATCACTGTTCTTTTCTAAATTTAATTTATATTTGTCCATCTACAACACATTGTCTGTTTATAAGCTTTTAATCCATTTGAAATGAAATATTACATACTACAATTTCCTTTTTTCACTAAATATTGAATTTAATAATTACACATTTTAAAAATGAACTAAAATTTCATTGTTTAAATGTTTTGTCATATCATATGACATTCAAATGTTTAATGAACCTCTTTGTTTGACACATTTTTCAATATTAAATAAAATAGGCCTTATTATTTATCATTCATAGGAGACTGTAAACTGCATATAATTTTATATTCTAATTCATTTTTATCATTACATGGATGATGTGACAATTTTGAATTACTCATTTAACTAATCAAATTTATCTTGATTCCTTCGGTAAAATGATTAGAACTAGTCATCAGTTCTGTCAACAGTCACTTTGATTGCTTCCATTTTCAGACTTTGCTTTATGATGTCTATTAAGTACGGAATCTGGATGTTGTTCAGGAAGACAATAAAAGGTTCACAATTAAACCACCTACCTCAATGAATTTATTTCTGAATTCTTCTCTGTAAACTCTAAATCTAGTCTATTAGTACAGAATTTATTCACTGGAATATTCTTTTGTTATAAATGGCATAATCATTATTGTAAGTTTGATTCTCTAAAGGATGAATTTATCAGAAATCGGTTTATTTCATGTAATTATTTTTAATAATAATAGTAATCTATTTATACACATGAAAGCTGTATGTGTTATTTGTGTAATCATTTCATATGTTATACATTTTTGTACTTTTATTCAACAGAGCTGACAGTGGTTATGTGAATGTCTATAAATGGTCATCTACAATGAATACAGACAATCCACTGCCTGATAAAGCTATTGGTAATTTAGTTACCGGTGTTAATTCATTGTGTTTCCATCCGTCTAATGAAATTCTCTGTTTGGCTTCATCACAACGTCCGGATGCTGTTCGACTTGTAAGTTTTTTATTAGCTAACATTTAGGCTGTTAATGAATATGTCATGTTTTGGTTAAAAACGTTTGACTTTCATCTACTTTTTCCTATATATAAATACCATTCTACCCATTTTAGTTAGGTCCGAAAGTTTATGATAATCTCGATAGTGTTAACAAAATAAACTAACAAAATTAATTAGTAAGCCTCTTCTTCTCATAAACAAGGTGTCTACCATCAAATAGCGAGAAAGTAAAAAGACTAGTAGACTGTTGCAATGACTACGTCACCGGTAAACACATTACTTATAATATTCTGAATAAAAGGCATAGATATACTCTACATTACCTAGAAACAAAACCTGATAAAAGATCAGGAATAGTTCTGATGGATAAAACAGTCTGTATGGAAAAAATAAAAACAATTCTCTGACCACAGCAAATTTAAAAACTTTCTTATAGAAATGACTCCACAAAAAACGTTGAACGACAGTTCATTCAATCATTAAACGGTCTGAAACAAATCACTACACTCTCCCTGGACTTATACACAGCACTTGGACTTGTGATTATGGTGGTACCTAAAGATTTTAGCCTAACAAAAGTGCATAAAACTGATTTACCACTTCACCCAGTCCCATATTTGGTTAATTCACTTTACCACACAACTGAGAAATAGCTAGTTGAACTTTGTAATCTATTACACAAGAATAGTTTTGAATTTGGTGACAAAGTTGAGGGTTTGAAGACGAGCAAGAAGTTCATGCAACAGTCGATTTCATATATAATGAAATACAAAATTGGAAAGTTGTAATTAGAATCTCCCCCTCCTTTGTAAAGTATTCAAATATACAAACAATATACATTTTTTTATTTCATATTGAACTCTATAGACAGTGCGCGGGGTATTATGGGGATTGCCATTAGGTCCAGTTTGTGTTGATTTATGTCTGCTAAAATTAAGAAATAGTCCTCTGAACGATGTAATAGGCGAACTACATGAATGATGCATTTATAATTGAAAAAAACAAGAGAAAAGCTCAGACCCTACTAGAAACATTTAATCGAGTCCACCAAGCAATTATCTTCACAACTGAAGGATAACTGCACTACACTCTGAAAGAAACATGGTCAAGTGCTTGACTTAAAAAAGCCGAAATTGTTTATTCTGTTGAAGAGGAATCAAAAATCTATTCTGGGTTCACTAAACAAACATGGATATCCATGAAAAGTTCTTGGTGAAACATGTCTGAAACTAAACCCAAAATAAAATCACTGACAGTACAGTTAAAAGATGATATAGTCAGTGAAATAGGAACTCGGCAAATACAAAACGCCTTGGAATTCACATTCAATGCAACAAGATTGTGTCCTATGTTCTTCATCAGGTAAATAGTGAGTTCATGACATAGAAGATAAATTGCCTATATCTGTATGTACTTACCATTTCAACTGCGATTGCGGAGCTAGTTATATTAGACACAAAATTAGTCAAATGGGTCATTGTATTTCGGGACATAACCTCTCACGGTTGACTAAAGGACGAAGAATATTTATCAGGTGTGTCTTGTTGCTTCTAGTCATTACTGACCATCACATAGATAAGACTTAGCATTTAATCTTATTTATGAAATCCCTTAGAATTCACTTTATGGTTTCGGAATCTGACTTATATGTACAGATGAATTCATAGGAATGCACATCAAAAAATCAAATCAATGTACGTAGAAAATGTGTGTACAACCCCTTAACTTACCTTTACATTCTTCGTAGATACTAATATATATTTCGAAATCTTCCTCTCCTTTCTTTGAACCTTCTGAAATTTGGTTTATTAAATGATACAACAAACATTAGACGTCACAATACTTCCATAAAATATGGATTTTCAGCGTATTTTTCTGAAATACTTTAAAGTTCAAGTTTCTAATAACATATGTGGTTAACAGTTGAACTGAATTGATTGTCGTCATTATTTGAAATGCAGTCAGTTTAGTCTTGTTGGAACATGTCACATAACTGTCAGCAATGAAATATACTAGGATGTTAGTTGAAATCTTAATGAATCATAATTCACTTGATTGTGGTTAAACTGAAATTAAAACCTGCTTAGTTATCGAGTCTATTTCGCTAGGTGTTGATTAGAATCCTGCCATCCGTGTGGCTTTTTCTTCAAACCTTTGTCATCAATTGTGTCAATAAAATTAGAAATGGTCAATTATTGCATACAGCGATGTTTTGTATTGTTAAGTTACCAACACATGTGTATATTAGAATTACATGACGATTTATCGATAGATTTCAACCTTTTTTTATGTATCAATAGCTTCTCATGGGTTGCACCAATTTTTCTATGCAATATTTTTTTATACTTAAACATTTTTAGTATAATTTAAACGAAGGTATAGTTTTTGAGAACTTTCCTGCTCGTGTTGGTACTTTAAACAAACCCACATCAGTTGCATTTAGTCCAGGTGGGCGATTTCTATGCGTCGGACAGTGTAATGGTCGTGCTGCACTTTATGCTTTGAATCATTACAGCGATTATTGACCTGAATCATTCACGATTGTACATAGGTACTTTTTATTTGATTATATTCTCAAGATTTGTGTATACACTTAATCATTTGAAATAAAATTAACTTCACTGATTATGTGGCATTTTTTCACTCAAGAAATTGGGCTTATTGTCGTATACCTTTTTTTGTTACTGATCAGTATCGAAGCGAATTTAGTTTGTTGTGTAATTAACTTGGATTACGAACAATTTCTTCACTGACAGAGATTTTTTTTAACATATTCATTTAAAACAAATTTTGGTATAAACAGGCACTAAATTGTATATATTCTCTACTTAAATAAGGAAATAAGATAGTGAAGCGATAAAGGCCGGAAATCAAGTTCAATCTTATCAATAAATGAGTAGAAATGGGATCTGATGCAAATATGCATTATTTCAGTTAGTGTATTTGTCATCCTTGACGTTTCAATACAATGAGCTATAATCAGTACAAGGAAAGGCAACGACTTGAAAATGATAATATCAGTATTAATGATAAATTGAAAACGAATTAAGTAAAAAATTACTTGTTTCGTAATATTGCACAAGTTTGACTTTCTCCTTATCAAAATGTCATTGAAGAAAATTGAGTAAGCAAAAAATCAGAATGAACAAAATGTAGTTGAAACAACGAGTTGATTTAGTAATTGTATACAAATCAATACTGAACTTAGGTGTTTTTGTCTTTAGTAGCTGACGTCATTTGGAGCAGTAAAAAGAACATCATGGTGCTAGTCAATTCCTTCTGATTTACGTGATACTCCATCAGACGTTACAGAAGAAAACCATTCCTTTTCGTCATTCGTTTGATTCGAACACAGCAATTTCATCTTGTATTCATGGATAAGTGTTTTCCTTAGCAATCCAAATTCTCATACTCAATGATTCTCACATCATTAAAATGAGTCATTATACAGTCACCATCCTGATGTGGGCATCACTGTGAAACTGCTTTCTCGACTCTGACTGGTCAAACATTTTGCTTGCAATTTACCGAACTTGTAGTTGCATGTCAGTAAATAAGCTATTTCCGGTTACCTCAAGATAAGTGAATTGTTGGTCATTCCAAATCTGGAACCACCCTGGTTTTCTCTCATTTGTTATTCACTGGTCTTAGTTGAGCTATAGGTGATTATTAAATCTATTATCTGGGATACAATATTAATTAGAATGATTCCTCTCTGATTATTATCGGAGAGTTTATGTTGTTTTTTATAAATTGAGACATCAAAGGTTGCAATCACAACAGGACATTGTTGTTAATTTTTACAGACTCCAAATAAGATTTCGAATTTAGACATGTAGTTTTTCGTGAATCGAATAGTCTAATCTTCAATGATCGAAAACGAGATTCAACAAATTGCATGTATGTTATTCATGATAACCTCTCTCCTGCAGTCTAAATGTAAACAAATGCTGCTGCTGGAATAATTTTGGTTTAGTTTTAGATCTGATACTGTGTACTTGCATCTTAGTTTTTCTAATAATGATATTTTATTACTTTATATAAGGTAACTCTAGGTAGCTAGTTTCTGTGTACTAATGCTGTTAAAACTGTCTATTGGATTATTATCATGTAATTAGCACCTCTTCGTGTTATTATTCAGTTTAAGCTCACTCATTAGTCCATTCTTTTTGAGAGGGGCTACTATCCTCTGGTTTTCCAAAGTTTTCATGTCTAGTACCAATTCTTACTGCTTACTTTGCACACCTTTAAAAACTGTTTGATTTAATGGCTTATTCTTTGAAGTTATTTGTTCAAAATAATTTGATCGTAATATCTTCAATATATTAATTATAGCTCCAGTAGACATTCAAATTGTCTCAAAAAAAAGTTTAATTTATTACGATCACATTTACATGTAGGCACTTTTTTGAAAGGCCTTCAAGTTATATCTTTTTACTTTTCCTAATTAAAATTGAATTATTTCAATCTAGAAAATTAGTCTTCTTGTAATTTATTCTTTCGATAAGTGTTAAGGTCTATACAGACACTGATCTTTAATCAAAAATTACACTTGACAAGAAGTAAATTCAAAATAACATATCTCTGTCTATATTTGGTAAAGTGCATCACAAAGAAGCATCTTTTTGAATATTGTAGATTAAAATACTTGAAACCTAGTCAAGTTTTAATATATAACATCAATAAGACCATAAAATGATATATATATTTATATAAACTTTTGGTTTTTTAAAAAAATAGCTTTATTGTCATTTGGTTAAAATGTGACAATAAATTTACAGAGGCTAAATGTAAACTTTTCTGAGCTATGAGTGAAAAACATTTTTCACTTGGTATCTTAAGAAAACCTAACAATAATGTCTTCATCTATTTTTGATAGAATAAACATTGCTGGAAATAAATTTTTACTTAAATTTTGTTTTGGTAAAGATTTATTTTATTTTAGTATTCGATCTAACAAAATTTCAGTGAGCCAGACGCTTGTTCATTCTAAGTTTTCATCGATAAAACACCAGAATCATCATTTCTGTTAAACTTGTAAGCCACAAATAAATATTTTTATACTTAAACTAAGCTGATGTCAATGAAGCGTTTTCAGTTGACAGTGAAGACATTAAGAATTCATATTTTTCTCGTGAAGTGATGCAACTTTTCAGATTGATATTGTCTTGTCTTTCCAATTACCACTTGCTCATAAACTCATTTGTAGTTGATATAGCCTAAATTCATCAACTTTCTGATCTGTTTAAAAATATTGGTGATCTAAATTAAAAACGATATATTCTTTTAGATTTCCAGTAATTTAATTCTATTACTTTTGGGAAATCCACCATTTCCCCAGTATTCTACCACAATCAGTTGATAAAAGGATATTTTATAATTACTTGCTTGCAGGTGAATTCGTGTCTTTAGAAATGACATCCTCCATGATCGATCTGTAAAGACTTCAGAAAATCTATCTACGTTTTTGATTTGAAATTGTTTTACTACACTAGCTACTTATTTCGCTAAAATATGAAAGAGGAATATAAATTACAAACAGTTTGAGATTAGCAAGGTTTCTGAGAACTGTGGTATTCAAGTTTGATTGTTGCTACTGTAGGGCACAAACTGTTTGACTCGGAAATAGTGATAAAATGTAATCTTTATTGAAGGAGAATTATGGTTCAACGCAGTTATTTTGAAGCGGAAGCTGTCGTTTAACGGATCAAGCATTCGAATTTTATCTATCGTTTCGGAACCACTCTCTAATACCTTAGGTAACCAGATAGTGTTATTATGTCTCATATAAGACAGTGGCTTAAAGCTACATGGTTAGTCCGTTATCAGCACCATCGGTTGTGGAAGTATGCGTTCCTATCTATCTGTCATACTTCATACAATGAGTGATGACTGTAGCAAGAAATGAATTAGACAAAAGAGATTTGTTTAAAATGAAATAAAAGTCTAGCAATGAGAAATACGGTTTACAAGGAACAAGTGCAATCGTAGTATAAAAAGTAAGGACTGATAATTAACAGGAAGCTAGAGAATGTGAGCAACTATGCTTGTTTAACCTATTTTGTATCATACCGCCTAACTTCCAAAAATCATAGATTACGATCTTTACATGTTTATCAATCATAAAGTCTGGACCATTAAAAATACCTCGAATGAGCAGTCGAGAACCTTATGAACGTCCTTTTGATATACACTTATATCTGTCAGTAATTTACCTCGGAGTAGGCAGTGGTCAAACAAGAGTAATGTATATTAATTTTCATGCAGCAACGGTTTATAGCCTCATCATCCAATTTTCTGTTTTTAACTACTATTCACCTTTAACCTAAGCATAACCAACTTCTTGATTTGACCATATACATAAAATATTTTCAATCCGTCAATTTACGTGGTACACTAGTCAAGTGATTACTATGTAACTATAGAGTGAATAATATTGATCGATCTGTTCTTATGTGACGCAAGTTATTGTAACATTTATAGAATGATTTGCGTTGGAACAAATAGGCTGATCGAATAAAATCAAATTAGTTCATATATATGTCAAAGTACCTTTTTGTATAACCTAAATTTTTCTCACTCTGAAATTGATATTGACAGTGTTTGCAATTTTTAGTAATTATCATTTAGTTCACTTTATTTAACACGTATTCACCGTATTATTTTGACTTTTGCATTCTCATGAAAGAAAGTCAAGTGTGCCCTTAACCACTACATCTATATGAATAACTTTGCTAGGGTTGATGAATTATGAAAAAGATCTACTATAGAGTATGTAAATAATTAACTTGTAATCCTTAGCATGAGTAGTCCGTTTGTAGCAACTGCTCAAACGGCTTGTCACTAAACATTGATGAAAGTGAAATAATTTATCAGTTGTATGAGTTGTGTTATTCTTGTAACATCGTTATATTTTGTAACTATCACATCACAAATGGTCACGTACAAATATCGATTCCTGAAGAGGTTATTCATAAACTTCACTAGATATTCACCGATTACACTGTTCAGTTCATCGTGATTATTGTATTATCCAACACTGTTCAAGCTCTGATCATTAAAAAAAACCCATTCTACTGTGTATGTATGCAGAACTGTAAGGACTCAAAAATTGATTGGGAGAAGAATATTTATTTTACCATTCAAACTAAAAGATGCACTCATTTATATATTGATTTCTACACACATTTTATCAATAGTTAGCACGTACTACATATTGGAAAAATACATAGAATTGTTACACAAACTTACAATACATTCGCTACAGCATATTAAACTAATACAAAATAATATCACAATGAAAATAAATCAATGTGGTACACGAAAATTAAAATATTATATTATGTTGGAAAAAAAACCGTATTTTATACTGAACAGTTATCACATTGAATTAAAATTGGGGGCGATAATGAACAAAAGTCATTTAAGGTCAAAAATATGATCTCGGTTTTTTTTTATCCCCTTCTAACAATAATATGTGAAAAAAAAATCTATGATTGGACTTTTTGATTTCCGTTTACTCAGTTCATCATGAATTCAAAGATACTATTGCCAACTAAAGTATTTGCGATTAATTCAACTATATTGAATTCCATAAAGTGTAAACACTGTTGTATAATATCTACAAA